TTAGGAAGCTCATAGAGTGCTCCTGGGAGTTGGGGGGGGGGGAACTGAGCAAAAAAACGGCCCATTTTTGGTCATTTCTGCCCTCCCCAGCCCCCAGGAGCTCTCTGAAAGCCTCCTGCAAGCTATGCATGGCCATTTTGGTGAAGGGGGTGGGGTTTCAGGAGGCAAAAAATGCTGTTTTCAGTGTATAAGATGCACCCAGATTTTCAGCCTCTTTTTTGAGGGAAAAGGTGCGTCTTCTACTCTGAAAAATATGGTAGTCTCAGAGGAGTTTAACACTGTTTTGTAGAAGCATTAGAAACCATACTCTACTATCTCAAACAACACTGCTTACAGTGTGTCTTACGTCTAGGGTCTGGGAAGAATGAAGTGTCTTGAGCTCTTAAAGTGCAAAACTATGTAGCCAGGCAGGATCCGTTTCTGTTTACTATTTCTACATTCAAATGATTTCTCCTCTTCATCAATGCTTAAAACAACAATGCTGCATTGAGTAAAAAAACAAAACAGTTCTATTCCCTTCAAGAAGCCTAGAAACATTAGGGCTTTTGCACCTTCCTGTTCAGGTTCCCTAGCAACTGATATCCAGAGGAACAGTGCTTCTGAAAGTGGAGGTAATATACAGCTATCATGACTAGCACCTTTATTTTTCATAAACCTGTCAATACTCATCTAGTCTAGAGAGCAGAGTGATGATTGGTGGCAAATGCCATAGTTCATTACTTTCTTTTCATTATCCAGGATTCCTCCCCCCCCCCATTCAGCCTTGTACAAACACAAGGTTTGCTTTTAAAAATGTTTCAGAATTAATCCTTACCATCTTTATATAGAGCCAGGAAAGATTCATCTGAAAATCTCAGAGTGCTCCTGCTAATGAGTGTGTGGATAAGCAAGAAAAATCTACTTTTTGTCTCAATATAAGGCTGCTTCCTATGTACTAAACTGACACTCAAAAATCTTTATATTCAAAGGAAGTATACCTCTAAATATTCAGATATTAGACACTAGGTACTAAAATATTAGCTCATGTCTTCATGAGTTTGAGAGTTTCGCAGGAAACTCTGGCTCAGAAAGTAGAAATAATATAAACATTAACCATAGAAATTAATGACAAATATAATCAAGTTTCCAGCTAATGGATAGATCAAGTTTAGCATGTATATGTTAATATATAACTCAGAATGTTTCTGCTGCTCTATCAAAAGAATTGGGGGAAGGGAGAACATGTAAGAAAGCAAACTGCAGTGGTTAAAAATGCAGTTTATTGTTTAATTGTTCTTCTCCCCAGTTTGCAAAAACAAACTAAAACCCCGCACAGAAATACACATTTAACATTACTTACCAAATTTACACCCAAGCAATGGCTGAAGTTGAAGAAATATGGTATTCCTGATGTCATTTAAATGAGATTCAGCTCTTGCCAAAACATTCAAAGGAACTTCTGAAGCAAGTTCATCTGTACAAAACAGTTCACTAATCAATATCCTTTTTTATCCCCCAACACTTCATTTCAGCAATGAACTAGGTATGGTTCAGAATTGCAGATATTTATAAGGAAAAGCGTTTGCTATATAATTCGGCTCCCGCAGCCATCAGAAAATATGCTGACTGGAAGCTGCATAAGAACTATTAGTTAATATGCTTGCCAAAGCCAAATTTGTATTCTGCTCTTATGAAATGCTTTTTAAACAGCACTCTGAGGGAACGTAGGATCTTTCAAAAATTGATCCAATAATTCCCTAGTCACCCACTAGAAAAACAGCATTATTGAAAAATGTTTGCAAATACTAATAATCACTCTCTATAAGATGAGGAGGCCAGAGATAAGTGCTATGTTTTGTCCTCACTCTTGTTCAAAGACACTTGAAACATATCCCAGAATCCATTCTAATGTGCCTGGATTTCCTTATCAAACATTTAGGGGATCTTTAGCAGATAAATACACTATATTGTCAAAAGTATTCGCTCACCTGCCTTTACTCGCATATGAACTTACTGTAAGTGACATCCCATTCCTAATCCATAGGGTTCAATATGACGTCGGTCCACCATTTGCAGCTATAACAGCTTCAACTCTTCTGGGAAGGCTGTCCACAAGGTTTATGAGTATATTTATGGGAAATTTTGACCATTCTTCCAGAATCGCATTTGTGAGGTCATACACTGATGTTGGACAAGTTTACGTGGCCTACCACTTCGTGGCTGAGTTGCTGTCGTTCCCAAACACTTCCACGTTCTTATAATATAGCTGACAGTTGACTGTGGAATATTTAGGAGCGAGGAAATTTCACGACTGGATTTGTTGCACAGGTGGCATCCTATCACAGTTCCATACTGGAATTCACTGAGTTCCTGAGAGCGACCCATTCTTTCACAAATGTTTATAAAAACAGTCTGCATGCCTAGGTACTTGATTTTATATACCTGATTGGAACACCTGATTCTGATTATTTGGATGGGTGAGCGAATACTTTTAGCAATATAGTGTAAATGTAGGAAGGATTTCCAAAAGATCAATCTGAAAATTATATGCCAGGTATTATATTTGCTACATTGGGACTAATTCAAGGTCATGACAAGATTCAATGAAAATTATCTTCAATATCAAACTACCATTACATTTTTATTTTATCTTGTCACATCTGGATGCTAATACTGGATGGCGAAGTGGTAAGAATGGCATGTGAAAGTGGAAATGAGACCCACAAAAAAAGTAAACCTTAACAGCTTTTTAACTGATTAGCTTTCATTAGACCTGATTTGATTATTCTAAGGTTTTTAAGAACCCTAACTAACCTTTCATTTCCCAGCATTAAAGGTTGCTATACATCAGTGGTGGATTCCAGATCCCGTTCCAACTGGTACGGTTGGAATAGGTCTGGCGGCGTCCACATGGACGTGCGCAGCACGCCCACATGCATCTTAGTGCCTCCGCAATGCTCCAGCTGCTCATAGGAGCATTGAGCAGGTGCTGTACGTGCCGTGCACAGAAGTGCCAAAGACTTAAAAGACAGGTAGGGAGCTCGGGTGGGCCCTCCGTAGCACCTTACCGGAATGATATCCAGTGCTCTGGGCAGGTTCCGGTATGCCCATACTGGGGCGTACTGGCTGAAGCCCACCACTGCTATACATTCTAGAAACAAATCTGATTCCAGAGCGAAACGAGAATATCATAAGCCCTACAACGATTTTTACTTTTTATATATACCATATTTTGGAGTATAAGACGCATCTTTCCTCCCCAAAAAAAGCATGGAAATGTTGGTGCCGAATACAGCCATTTTTGGCCTCCCAAAGCCCTGCCCCTGCATCCCATTTTTGCAAAACACTGGCCTTTTCCACCAAAACAGGGGCATCTTTGCCTTCCCCCAGCCCCGCTGAAGCATGCAGAGTGCTCCTGGGGACCGGGGAGGACAAAAACCTTTTTTTCTTACTTACCTCTTAGAAATCTTGGTACATCTTATACACCGGTGTGTCTTATAGTCCGAAAAATATGGTACATTTTACATATACCACAATATATTAAGTAACAGGTCTCCGAAATAAACAACCCCCTGCCTCTCCGATTGGGCTTACCCCTTTGGCAAGTGTTCACAAGTGCAGCAGCTTCATTATATTTCGTGAGCAGATTCTGGAATACCGACGTGTTTTTGGAGAGTCCAGTAAGCATTCTTAATGTTTCCAAATGTACCAGTATTGACAGAATGCAATCTAACCAGCAGAGAGCATGTGTATTTCTCCACTGAAGCTGCAAAGGCTCCTGCACAGATGACTTGCTTTGTTGCAGATCCTGAGACACTGACGGAGCCATCTCAGGGGCTGACAATAACTGTGTTTGCACACTGAGCACTTCTGGTGAGTGTTCTTGAGCTCCCAAGCCCATTTTCTGGTTGATGGATTCAGCTTCATCAGAAAAAGTTGGCTGCTTGGCTTCTGAAAAATCAGACTGACCTGATGGAGTCCTAATTGGATTATTTCCATTGCAGTTGGGAATAAAATCAGATCTGAATGTCTCCTCAGTGTCCATCAAGTCATCAGTCCTAATCAATTTTAAGCATGGTTCAATAGAAGAGGTCAATAGGTTTGTGCCAAATAACTTTCTTTTCCCACAAGTGCCCTGAGATGAATAACCTTTTGCATCACTGGGAATTACAATAGTGCTTAGCGGTGCAGACCCTAGAGGGTAAATGCACTGAAATAAAAACAAAACGAAGACATTACACTTACATTTAGTCCAAGTAGATTAACAGCATATGATGCACATTTTAGGAATGAAATGGAGAAACAGTCACAGAAATATTAACTGCAGTCATAGTCTTCAATTTGCAACCACAATTTGGACTAGAATTGTCTTTACTAAGCAACGCAGTTGTTAAGTGAGTCACATCTGATTTTATGACTTTTTCTGCCACACTAAATAAGCAAATGGCTGAAGTGTCTGGCCTGCAGCCATCTTTTCTATTGGATCTTTGGCCTGCCACACTTTCTATTATTCCACTATGCATTTTCTATTGTGGGAAAATGGGAAGGGAGGTTGTAAGGAGTTACATACTTTGTAGCCATAACAAAATTCTTTCTAGAAAACCAAGCTCATCCTTTGTCTCTGCACCTCACTGGAACTGGATGGGTGGAACTCCAGCACGGCAGTGGGAGATTGGACCTTGTGATGGACCTGTGGGTGTGGGGGCAAGATCCTGAACTTTCAACTAGGGTGGGAAAACTAAAAAAGCTTTCAGATTTGGCTTTTCCCTGATGTGCCAACATGACTCTCTTAATAAATTGGAACTTTGAGAAATACTTTGCCTTAGACTTTGATTTACTTTTGGATGCTATTTGGAATGCTTGCTAAGTGAATCACATGGTCATTAAATGAATCCAGCTTTCCTCCATTGATTTGCTTGTCAGAGACAGCTGGGAAGATTACAAATGGCAATCAGATGACCCTGGGGCACTGCAATTGTCATAAAGATATGGTTGCCAAGTGCCCAAATTTTGATCACGTGATCGTGGGGAATGCTACAATAGTTGTAAGTGTGAGGACCGGTCATAAGTCACTTTTTCCAGTGCCATTGTAACTTGGAAGAGTTACTAAAAGTAGAGGACTTCCTGTACAGAAATTAGGCATCCAATTAAAAACTATTAAAATCACAATCTATTTTAAATAGTACTGTTCTCTGATACAATTTTTTTCTCAAAAAAGCATCCCTGATACTGCACAGCAACAAATCTATAAAAGTATTTCCTTTGCATGGAGTGTCTGTTTAAAATTATTTATGAGGTGGGGAGGGAAGCATGTTTTTGAAGGCTATTTTTAAGTGTTACTTTTCTAGACATCTGTGTGCTTAGAAATACAATTCTGCTACTGGTTCCTTCCTGTATTCCACATAAATGAAGGATATTTCTAGTTTCCTTGAATCAAGGTTAGACTTTAAATACTGCAGGCTTTAGTTAGCCACTCTTTCTTTTTTAGTTTTCCCCCCTACTGATTAACCTTCCTTCCCTTTCATTGCTGCAATCTGTTTTTCATGTCTTTATCCACAACTAGAGTGGTACCTATTGTCTCTTTCTCACGGAATGTTCCAGCCTACTCTGACAAGATGGGAATGAGTTTAATATCAAAAGAGCCAATACGTCCTTCTTTTTGGGTTCTTCCTTCTTCTTCCTGCAATTTATTTTTGTGCTAACATGCCTTTACAATTTGGAAACACCTTGAAGACTCCATAAAGGATTCTTCTGTCTCTGGTAAACTTTTTTTAAATCTATAAAACATTAGGGTGTGAATACTAAAAGGCAGGATTCACGTTTACAGATATACCTGACGTAAGCAGGAACTGAAGCACTCTCTTAATATCCATAAATTAAGAGATGTTTAACTACATGAGGGGCGTAAGTCTGGGGGGGAGGGAAGCTAGGAATTCCTTCACTTATGGAAAAGGGCCAACCTTTTTATATTATGAGTGGTCTAGGAAAATTAAAGTCACAAAAGCACATTAAATTTATCTTAAGACTTTAAATATCAGTTTTAGTTTTTATTTTATATACCATCTATGAAAATTGGGGAAAGTAATTCTGGAACTCACAAAATGGATTGGGGAACGACACAAATCCACAGATTTACCAATGCTAATTAATATAAAAACATGTCTAAAAGTTAGCTACACTTTTTTTACATTTAAAAATCAAGAGACGTTATAACTTTAGGTATACTAAGCAGATTACTCTATAAATTATCTATAGCAGATTACTCTATAAATTATCTATGAAGTTTAAGAATGCCACAAATAATGGGAGTGGAATGGGTACTTTGCTTTCAAATGAGTTTCTTTCATATTGTACATCATATAATTCACTATATGTAGATTTTCTTGAAAACAATTTTGCTGAAATATATCATGCTTGACCTTAATATATTGCCAAAAGTATTTGCTCACCCATCCAAATAATCAGAATCAGGTGTTCCAATCACAGATGTTTAAAGTGAATTCCAGCTTGGAACTGTGGTAGGATGGCACCTGTGCAACAAATCCAGCTCCTAAATATTCCAGTCAACTGTCAGCTGTATTATAAGAATGTGGAAGTGTTTGGGAACGACAGCAACTCAGCCACGAAGTGGTAGGCCACGTAAACTGACTGAGCGGGGTCAGCAGATGCTGAGGCGCATAGTGCGAAGAGGTCACCATGTTTCTGCAGTCAATTGCTAGAGACTGCCAAACGTCATGTGGCCTTCAGATAAGCTCAAGAACAGTGCGCAGAGAGCGTCATGGAATGGGTTTCCATGGCTGAGCAGCTGCATCCAAGCCATACATCACCAAGTGCAATGCAAAGCGTCAGATGCAGTGGTGTAAAGCACGCCACCACTGAACTCTAGAGCAGTGGAGATGCGTTCTCTGGAGTGATGAATCGCGCTTCTCCATCTGGCAATCTGATGGACGAGTCTGGATTTGGTGGTTGCCAGGAGAACGGTACTTGTCTGACTGCATTGTGCATTGTGCCAAGTGTAAAGTTTGGTGGAGG